TCAACCCTTAAAATAATACAGTATTGTGTAAAAGTAATGCAAGCGAAATGCGCAAATTTCGTTCTTTGATCCCGCAATTATTAGACAAAAGTTTGCTGGAAAGTTTGATTGAAATTTTACTGCCTGTCAAGTGATAATTCACTATAACAAAGGACCATATTTCTTTGAATTATCAATAAGTTAACGAAAATTCGCGAGCACTAAGGATAATTTACCAGCCTATACACAAAATTTCATAGGACACTGAACAGCAGTTCGCCAGCATTCACACAATTTTCTTTTCGCGACTGAACCATGTACAAAAAAACTGTCATGTAACTTACACAAGATAAATTTTGATACATGTATTTGTAAATTTGTTCAAGAGAACACGGTATGCAGTCATTGACTGCCTTATAAGATGATAACATACAGTGTTATGCATTACTTGAATCTCACATGCCTAAAATTTGCAAAAGGTTTTTAAGCAGGTTCATTCTCTTGAGTTCAGTTTCATACGCAGAAAATTAGAACGTACTTACCTTATTATGAAGACAGCGAGCTCAGTTTGTTTCCCAAACAAAACAAAAACATCTCCAGTTCTGGCTGTTTAAACTGCTTAAGCAAACAGCGACAAACAACTTGAACGAAGTGCAAATCAACAAAAGCAATTACGCAACGATGCTTTTCATGTCAAAACAAGTCAGTCTGTCAAAAATTTGCGCGATCCTGCAAAAAATAAAAATTGGCCCAAAATGCTATATACACCCTTTTTGCACGAAAGTCTTCAATTAGTAAACAGACGCTTAGCCAAATAGGTATCTATTAATTTTGTTGAATTGATATCATTTTTATTATTTTTGTAGCGACTGGCAGAGGATTTAGAGTATGCTGATATTCTAAACAGAGCCTCATGTAAGTAACATTATTGTTAAGGTGCTACTTACATATTACAGGCAAAGGACAAAAAAATTCCAATATTGTAAGCATGTAAATTAATGTCTTTATAATTTACGATAAAAGCTGTTTGTAACTTAAACTGAAGTAAATTTTCATTAATTCTCTGTTTTGAATTTATATTATTCCACAGTTTGTAAAAATTCTTTGGTCCAACTTGCTCATGTGGCAGCATTTGCTTGTTCAACTTATTCAACTGTGCTTGGAAGGTAAGAACAGCTACAGTTAGTCTTATATGAAAGTTTCAACACAATTGAAAACACAGTGTTTCATTCTTGTTGTAGGTTCTGGAAACCTTTCAACCCACTGTTAGGAGAAACATTTGAGTTTATTAATCATGATGTTGGATATGCCCTCATAGCAGAACAGGCAAGTAAAACATACCAAAAACAATGTCACAAGTTAAATTTACTGCACTTTCGTACTTCTCTCACTCTGGCATCCAGCTGTAAGCCTTAAGGGAAGTTTGGAAACAAATCAATCTTTTGCAAATTTCATTCAAAGTAGGATTGACAATAAAACTAAATCTATAAATTAAAAATCATCTCAGTTTTGTTTGAGATTGCTTTCTGTGATAAATGTACACTGATCAGATGCATGTTGGTGTAAAACTCGATCTCTCATTTTCAGCAATGCTATGGCTTTCAATACATGTATTAAAGATATAAAATATCCCTGATTTTCAGATTAGTCTATCAGCTGAGGTGGTTGTATGGCTCACTTATGGGGAACAAATGAAAGTTGTATGTTCCTAATCCTTGACTATTAAGTATCGTTAAAATGCATGATAGCAAGGATAGAACGGTAGCTTTCACTTTGTAGATGGAATTTTAAATTTACCCCCAATACCCTCCTTTTGGTTGCCATCTTGGAATTCTAAAAAAAAAGCATTAAAAAGTGTTATTTTCCTATATTTCTTTTCTTAGAGGCACATGATATTTTGCCTGGACGTGTATTTGGAGTAATTAGTATCTTAGACACTATTTCAATATTGTCTGTGGTTGTTCAAGCTATGATGACGTCATAAATTACGTTACAGTGGCCGCCATTTTTTTTTTTCAGTTTGTGTATTCAACCTCTATTTTAAACCATCTGAAGTAACTAAATTACCAATAAGGTGCTCCACATCACAGTACTAGAAAAACACCTTTTCTACATTAAGTTAATTAAGCACACTATGCCATGAACCGATATACCATAACTCAATGTATACACATGTAACTAGGTTCACACTTCAATTTAGAGCTCGGTTGAGTACAGAAGCGCCCCGATCGTATAATGCCCTTTGTCACTGCTGTCACTTGCATTTGGATCTATAGCTTCTCAAACTCACAAACAATTCATCAAGCCTAAATACGGTAAATTATGACCGTGACGTTGTTTGGATATCTGATTGTTTTAGCAGATATTTCTACGAGTTTATTTTTCTGTTTCTTCTTAGTTTTAGTTCCAATCGAGAAGTTCTATAAAACACTCAAGAATCTGTTTGAGCACCTTTCCAAACACCTCAAAAATTGTCAAAAATACTCGGCTACTGGCGTTGTATTTCAACTGTCTTCTCTGT